AAACCGGTAGACATGCAACATGTTGAAGAGTAAAGCTTCACTGAATTCGTGAGTGCCACAAGGTACTTGAAAACTGTAAGTATATGTTGGCACCAACAGGTAACCCTAAATATTATGCAAATACAACAAACCACCACACACATGCATAATGTTAAGGAATAATATTGTGTAAACATGAATATCAAACGATCAGACAAGGCAACAAACAACATTATAACTCATATGTACGTATTTAAAGATCAACGAAATGATCAACATAAGAACAAGAGAAAAAATATGTATAATTTATGGAACATTTAAGTGGCGGTAGTAGTTAGTCGACGATGGCGGAGTCTAGAAGATTGGTTTGGTTTAGTTTTTAGCTTTAAGCTGGTTGCATGTTTGGTTATAGTAAAAGTGTTAGTCGTCTTGCTTTTAACTGACTCATTTTGTTCTCATGAATTTTAAAAGCTTTTTTTTTCCTCAATTTTGATTAAAAACTAAAATAAAAAGCTGCTGAGTCACTTGTTAAAAAATATATATCTTTATATTGAAAAATCTATTGAAATTTTATATTTACCACTCTTAATGATTGGTATGTGTGACGAATTTTGGTATTTTTGCTGCTTGCTGTGTAGTGTAGCTTGAAGGGGGAAATTTGTACGTATTTTAGACCTTATTTTTTTAAAGGGAAAGTATTTTTTATAATTTTTATTATTAGAAGGTTTTGTTGATTTTAATAATATGCAAATATGTTAAGAAGCTGTTTACAGTTTTCGTTTTTATTAAATGATGATTTTATTCAAAATAGAAATTCTTTGCATAATTTTTTGAAACGAGTTTCGTTTTGTTAATAAACTTACCTAAAGTTTTGAATATTTAGTAAAAAATTTAATTAAACATACCTGAAAGAAAAGAAGAAAATATAAAATTTTATTAGTACAGTTTTAGGCAAATGAAAGTAGGAACTATAAGGAGTTCGCGTACAATATGTAGTTTAGAAGCCATAGCGATCATAGTTATACTCTTATTAGTCCTAAGTCTATAATATCTTTAGTCCAGAGACTATAATTCCCGTATTCCAGAGACTTTAGTTTTGGACTTTAGAAGCTGCAGAACTATACAGACTACAGCCTCTGAACTATAGAGACTATTGTCTATGGACCATTAAGGCTATAATCTCAGGAATATAGAAACTATTTTCTCTGGACTATAGAGTTTTTAGACTATAGGAACTATAATATCTTAATTCTATAGACTATAGTCTTTGGACACTATAGATTATGGAGACTATAGCCTATGGACTATAGAGACTATAGTCTATGGACTAAAAACTCTGGACTATAGAGACTATGGACTAAAGACTCTGGACTATAGAGACTATATTCTCTGAACTATAGAGACTATAGTCCCTAGACTATATAGTACAGACTACAGCCTCTCTACAGTCTCTGAACTATAGAGACTATAGTCTATGGACCATTAAGGCTATAATCTCAGGACTATAGAAACTATTTTCTCTGGACTATAGAGTTTTTCGACTATAGAAACTATAATATCTAAATTCTATGGCCTATAGTCTTTGGACTCTATAGATAATGGAGACTATAGATACTATAGTCTATGGACTAAAGACTCTGGACTATAGAGACTATAGTATCTGAACTATAAAGACTATAGTCCATAAACTATAGAGATTACAATCTCTGTACTATATAGACTATAGTCCCTGGACTATAGATACTATATTCTTTGGACTATATTAACTATAGTCTCTGGACAACAGAGACTATAGTCTCTGGATTCTATGGACTAAAGTCTCTGGACTATAGAGACTATATTCTCTAGTCCCTGGACTATAGAGACTACAATATCTGTACTATAGAGATTAAACAATAAATACTAAAGTCTCTGCATTAAAGAGGCAATATAGTAGTCTCTGGGCTATTGAGACTATAGTATAGTCTCTGGACTATAGAGACAATAGTATAGTCTATCGACTATTGACACTACCATCTCTGTACTATAGAGACTAAACAATAGATACTAAAGTTTCTGTATTAAAGAGAATATAGTCTCTGAACTATAGTATCTAAACTTTGGAGACTATAGTATCTAGACTATTTAGACTATTGTCTCTGGACTATGAGGACTATAGAAACTTTAGTCTCTGAACTATGGAGATGATTATAAAGGCTGTAGTATACGGATTATACTTTAGTCTTTGAACTATTGTGTTAATACCCCCTGGACTATAGATTCTAAAGTCCCTGCATAGTTTCTAAGCTAAAGAGGCTATAATTTCTAGACTATATTAAATTCCCTGTCTCAGTGAGTCTATGATATTGTACTACTTGCCATAAACACATTTTATTATGTATCATTTCACCTAATTACCTTCCCACAACTTCCAGAATTTTCCAACTTCATTAAGATTCTTAGTAAAACGCTTCTTTCATTGCGTTCTAAAAAAATAAAAATTTCACACAATTTTCTATAAATTTCCTTCATTGTCTGGTCTACAACGCAAGAAAAAGAACATCTAATTCCCACGTTTTCTTTAGCATTTCGCATCTATTGTATTCTTTACAATACTCTTCAGATCTCTTCAACCTTGACCGAATTCATTATTTTAAAATGATCCAATGCAAACACCTTTTAAATCACCACCACGTAAAGCTACAATAAACAATGCACCTTCTTAAACTAACATTTTTCCTTAGGGGTCTTATACCCAATCTCTCCCAAATAAATGCTCTTGAAGTAGTCACATACACATAAGAATGATAGTTCCACATGATGAATTCATAATATAATGCAGTATGCAAACAGGTACTTTTATGAAAAATAAAACCGGTTACTTGTTTAATGAGAGAATTCAAGAACCCAGAGAAAAGAAAACACAACAAACAAAAAGTGATGCTTAAAATAACAACAAATCATTTAAGATTTCTCAAGTCATGCAACACGAAAAAAATGCAAATGTTCGAAAGGTGAAGATGAAACGAAATGCCCAAAACAAATGTAGAAAAAACAAAACAAAAAGACGTTTAAAAGAGGTAATAAACACGTAGTTTGAGGTGCAAGTTGAGAACACAAGTAACTGTGAAGAAAACAGCTGATGAGAAATATAATAAACAAGAGCTTAAAAGTAGCAACGACAACAACAACAGCAACTACATTATAACAGCAACAATAACAACGTTATTAGTGCTATATATACAAGCGGGTAACTGTTAGTAACAACGGGGTAACCAAAGTAACTGATGGTGAGTAACGTTGTTGCATTGAGCGAACGATTGAACAGAAAATGTAAATAAATAAACAACTGAATAAAAGTGGGTTTTTTGTTTAACATTTATGGTTATTGGAATGATCGAAATATAAAGGAATGAAATCATTGAACACTATAGAGACTAAAGTCTCTTGAGTAGAGAGACTATAGTCTCTGGACTATAGAGACTATAGTCTCTGGACTATAGAGACTGTAGTCGCTGGACTATAGTCTCTTGACTATAGAGTCTGTAGTCTTTGGACTATAGAGACAATAGTTTCGAGATTATGGGCTATGGACTACATCTCTATAGTCTTAGGACTATAGAGACTATAGTCTCAAGACTATAGACTTTAGATTACAGAAATTATAGTCTTTGAACTATAGTCTCTAGACTCTAGAATACAGAAACTATAGTCTCTGGACTATAAAGACTATAGTCTCTGAACTATAGATAATATAGATCCTGGACTATAGAGTCTTTTGTCTTTGGACTATAGAGTCTTTTGTCTTTGGACTATAGTCTCAAGATGGAAACTATAGTCTTTGGACTATAGATACTACAGAGTCTTTATTATAGAGTCTTTGGACTATAGTCTCAAGACTATAGTTTCTATACTATTGAGACTGTAGTCTCTGGGCTATATAACCTATAGTCTCAGAACTATATAAACTATAGTCCCTGGACTATAGAGATCATAGTATCTAGACTATAGAAACTATAGTATCTGGATTATACAGACTAGTCTCTGGACTATAGTATTTAGATTATAGAGACTATAATCTCTGGACTAGATATATTATAGTTCTTCGACTATAGAGACTATAGTTCCTGGGCTATAACGACTATATTCTTTGGACTATAGAGAATTTAGTCTTTAGATTCTTTCTTTAGTATCTGGACTATATAAATTGTAATCTACTATGTCTGGACTAAAGGAACTATAGTCTTTGGACTAAAGAAACTGTAATCTCTGAACTAAAGAGAAACTATATTCTCTGGACTATAGAGACTATATTCTCAGAACTATAGGGACCATATTTTCTGGACTATAGCGACTATGGTCTATTATAGTCTCTGCACTATAGAGACTGTATTCTTGGACTATATAGACTTTAGTTTCTGGACTGTAGATACTATAATCTTTGGGTTGTATAGACTATTGACTGTGGTCGATAGATACTGTATTCTCTGGACTATAGAGACTTTAGTCTTAGAACTATAGAAACAACTATCTCTGAACTATAGAGACTACTATTTCTAAACTATAGATATTATATTCTCTGGACAATCGATACTATATTTCCAGACTATTGAGACTAAAGTCTCTGGACTATAGAGATAAAGAGACAACCGCTTCTTCACTAATGAGACTATAGTCTCTAAACTATTAAGACTGTAGTCCCTGGACTATGGACACTAGAGTTTCTTTCCTTAAGGTTTTTGATTTTATCATATGATTCCATACCTTTCCACACCTGTCTTTGTATAATAGAAATTTCTGCAGTTTGTATTTTTATTTGTTGTTTTTCATAGCCAAACAAGACCAAAATAAACAGACTCTCTTATAACTTGGTTAAGCTGGTAACAGAAAAGAGGAGTTTGACGTACACACACACACACACAAACATTCAACAATGAGTGAGTGTATTTTGGCAAGCCAGCCAAAAAACGCTATTGAAAAAAAAGACACCTTAAGCATGCTTAGCAAATGCTGGCTTAAGTTAGTCATTTCTTAAACCTACTACAGGTATGTTCAGCACAATAAACGGAACGCGAACAACGTTAAAGTTAGTTTAAACTTTTTAAAAAGTATACCTATTCTAAACGGGCAGGTGTAGAAGATAGTGGTATGCGCGCGCGCATCTTTCAATTAAGATAGACTTTAAATAAAAAGAACAAAAAAAAAAAACTTTAAGAAGAAACGGGGAATTTTTAATTAGTAATAAAAAAAGTTTTAATTTGAGTTTAATTTGTAGACGATTGTGTGTGTGTGTGTGTTGTAAACAAAATGAAACGTCTTAAAAGTGTAGCTCGTATTAGTTTCGATTTACTAATATTCGCTGGCTTATGCTTATCGGAAGTGGCTTTGCGTAAATGGTTTAAGCCCTATAAACGTGGTTTCTTTTGCAACGATGAATCACTGCAGTATCCCTATCGAGAAAGTACCATTGGTACGGTGTTATTGGTGGCTATAGTTTTGGCTGTACCCTCTTCGGTTATGATAGTAGTGGAGTTATTTAAACAGCTTTCACCTATGCCCATTGAAAAAAGGAAGTCGTCACAACAGGCCAATTCTAAAGTGGGCTGTCGTATTGGTGAACGGTTAATGCACTGTTATATGCAGATAGGTTATTATCTTTTTGGTTTGGCCTTGTGTTTGGTCTCTACCCATATTACCAAGTATACAGTGGGCCGTTTAAGGCCTCACTTTTTTGCTGTGTGTCAACCTCAACTACCGGATGGTTCTACTTGCAAGGATTCCTTTAACTTTGGCCGTTATATAGAGGTTTATGAGTGTGTGGGACAAAATCATACGGCTAATACTTTAGCCCAGCTGGGACAATCATTTCCCAGTGGTCATGCCAGCATTTTCTTTTATAGCATGGTATATTTGGCCATTTATCTGCAGGCAGCTTTAAGCACTCGAGCCTCGAAATTGTTAAAACATTTGCTGCAATTTATATTCATTATGTTTGCCTGGTATGTGGCCTTGACACGCATTTCCGACTATTGGCATCATTGGTCCGATGTGGTGGCTGGCACTATTTTGGGTTCTTTAATTGCCTTTGTGGTGGCGGTATTTGTGGCTAGAATCTTTGTAAGAAAACCTATTAGAAGTAATGGCAATGTGGCACCTAAACCTCCTGCTAAACCGGCTGCCTCACCTACCAATTCATCTGCTAAATCAAATAATTCACCGCCCGTCTTGCCTGCCTATACCTTTGGTACTTTGCCCTACTTGCCGCATCCTCATGCTGCCACAGCGGCTGCTGTAGCTGCCGCTGCTGCCCAGCAACAAGCTCAATATGCCCAAACCTATCACAATTATGGCTATGTGCCTTAGACATGCCACCAACAACAACAATAACAACAACTACAAATGCTTCATGATAATACTGGTAATGATGATCGTGATGATGATGCTGCTGCTGCTATTGCCTGCCGTTGTTGCTGATGTGAAAGTAGTCAAACGTGTGAGAGCCTTTTAACAAACAAAAAAAAAAAAAACAACAACATGTTGCATGCACCAAAAACATGTTAAAAATTAAAAATTTTTGCGTGCCTATTTTTGGTTGTTTGTTTTTTTTATTATTATTATTTTATATTATTTTTATTATTTTTTAAGTTTTAAATTAATCTTTAACGAAAAACTTGTCTTCACTTAGTTATAGTTAGTTAGTGTGTGCAACCAAATATAGCAAAAAAACAGCCACAAAATGCTGTACATATTTGTTGAAAACAAAAACTGTGTAATTTTGTAATTTGTGTGTGTGTGTGTATGTGCATTTTATATGCCTTCATTTTGTTATTAATTATTTTTTTTTTTTAAATAGTGCTGCCTGCCTGCTGTCCACCTTCAATATCTAAATGTTTTCTTGATTGCTCTGTCTCTTTGGTTAAGTATAGTCTGTATATAGTTTTGTAAGTTTTCGTTTGTTTTTTCTCCACTTTTTGTAATAAAGTTTTACTTATTTGTAGCTCGTATGTAAGTTACAAAATACAGTGGAAGCTCTTAAAATGGGTTGGAATCCAAAAATGGAGTTATAGGTTTTGTTGGGATGGTGTAAGCCAAATGTTCAATTGGAAAATTAAATGTATTAGTAACCTAATGATTGAGTTAAGGTGGTTTAAATTTTAGTCATTTTCTTTTTCACAATTTACTCTAGATTTGAAATAAATTTTGTGTTGTCACAAAACTCTGAAATGTTTTACCATCATCAGACTTAAAAAAGTCTCCAAATGATAGCCAAGTTCCGAAACAGTGATCAAACCAGTAAGTTTTTTAATAAGACCGCTCCCTAAGACGACAAAACGGAATTTCAATCTACGATCCATTAATTTTTAACTCCATATTTCAAAGAGTAGTTAGGAACTTCATTATCATTGTGTTTTGTAACTAATTACCCAAATGTCTTTATGAACAACTTTTCAAATCTTCTTTATTCAAAACAATTTCATTTAGTTGCAAACTACAAGAGAATTCTTCGTTCGTTCCAGCAACTGGCTCAAAGGTAAACTGGACCATATGTATTTCGGGAAAGACTACTTCACATTCGGTCAAGGATTTGCTATATAATGACACTAAATACTAGACTACGAAGTAACTTCATTCAAATATATTGATTTATAGACGATGGGTTCCTTATTCTGAAATTATCGGCATTATGGTCGATCAAAAATGAACAATTGAATCATTGGAGAGAAGTACCAATCGAAATATGTTTTCACAGTAAAGAACTTCCAACAACTTAGTCCGATCAAGAGGTTGTAAATGGAATCCACTTAGTCTTATTGAAATTGTGGACATTCGAATCTTTACTTTGAAGAAATTTGCGTCTCTTTTTGCCAAGAAATGAATGTTCAGATTTACATTCAAACGGTATTTGGTTCCTCTGGAAATTACCTTTGGCAACGAGACTCAATGAATTGTGGACAATTTGAATAGATTTGCCTATCTTTTTGCCAAGAATTGAACGTTCAGATTTACGTTCAGATGGTACTCGGTTACTCTGGAAAGAACCTTAGGTAACCAGACACAATGAATTGTGGACAATTTGTCCAATCGAACTGAGTGTCCGCTCAGTGAGAGATGTATCAACCAGAACATTAAATATTTCGAAACTATCGGTGTCTTGCTGGATCAAAAATTAATTTCTTCGATTGGGTGGTCGAAAATCGAACCCACTAAGACTCATTGAAATTGTGGTTAATGGAATCTTTACTTTGAAGAGTTTTGCGACTCTCTATGTCAATAATTGAAAGTTCAGATGTATGTAAGTTCAGCCGGTACTTGGTTACTATGGAATTGTGGACAATTTGTCCAATCGAGATATGGTTTCACTGGACAGAACCTTTGATAACTCATACTTAATGATTTGTGTACAATTGATTCTTTGTTGGTTGAAAGATCTCTCTCTGTGATCTCACTTGTTCATGGAGTGTTCACTCAGTGAGATATGTATCAAGCAGAATATGAATACACATTGAAATACTACAGTTGACTGATTTTTGAAAATAAGATCTATATTCTGAAACTATCGGTGTCTTGCTAGATCAAAAATTAATTAGTCCGATCGAGGGGTTGAAAATGGAACCCACTTAGACTCAATGAAATTGTGGTTAATGGAATCTTTACTTTGAAGAGTTTTGCGACTCTCTTTGTCAAGAATTGAAAGTTCATATATATCAGCCTTTGCTTGGATCCTTTGGAATGAACCTTCCACAGCTCAGACTGAATGAATGGTGACCAATTTGACCTTCTGAACATGAAAGATCTTCAGCGCACTTGGTGGCCGATTTTCCACTTAGTGAGGGATATATCAACCGAAGCTGTGTTGCCCGGGAAAGAACCTTTGACAACTCAGACTTAATGAATTGTGGAAAATTGGTTCTTTGCCGTGAGAAAGAACTTCATTTGGTTGGCTCAGATGTATCAATCTAAACTTTCAATCCTAATTTTCATTGAATTTTTGTAAACAATTGGATCATAAATGTGATCTTAAAACGAAAAGAACTTTGTCACAATTCCTCTAACATTTAGACTAAAAAGATGGTGTTTTAGAATCACCAATCAAAATTTTAATCTCAAAAACTAAAGGAGTCCCAGTTATATTTATATATTTAAGGAAAAGTAGTATAAGAATTACCTTCGAAAGTTTACATTTTTCAATGACGCTCGTAATTCGAGGGATGTAATGCAAAACAACTTCCCCTTTAAGTCCTTGATCAGATGAGATAATGTAACAAAAAAGAAATCTTGGCCAATGAATGATCAACGAGTTGAATTTGATTAAACTAATAGGTTGTAAAGTGATCTAGTATATTGAACTTAAATGCAAAGCAAAACAGTTTGATCTTTAAGTCCTTGTTGTTAAACGTGATCTGAAAAGCGAAATCTTGATCAAATAGCTAAGGGTTCTTCAATAAACTCGATCGTTCGGAATATATTCTGTAGATTTAAAAAAATTCATTTGAATTTTTCTTCCTACGGATCACAACTTTCGACTCAAAGACGAAAGAACGGGAAATCACGACAGCAGAGAGACAGAGTTTAATAAATCGATCATTTTTTAATGATCTTTTCATAAATGTGATTGGAATTTTGTAGAAAAGATATTGAAGCTTCTTTTTCTAATAAATCATGTGGTAATGCCTGCAACCAAAATATTTATAGAATCTGGCAGGATCAAATGAGAACAACAAGATCGCAAGCTTCACTTCTGGTCTTACTAATGAGCTCTTCATAAATGGAATTGAAATTTTAAAGGGAAAAGATATTGAAGCTTCTAATTATTGTAAAACATTTGGTAAAGACTCTTAACAAAGCATTTCATTTCAAGAATATTTATAGAATCTTGCAGGATCAAATGAGATCAACAAGATCGCAAGCTTTACTTAAGCAAATTCTGAGCTTTTTGAGGTTAATAGGGTGCCAAACTTTAAAAGTAGTCACAAATTGAGTTAAGTCTAAAAGCAAAGAATTTGATCTTGTTTTTTTATAAGTAACAGATCAACTGATCTAAGTCATGGAGTTACAAATTACTGAAATTTTTTTCTAAACTAATTATTCATTTTTAAATTTCAACCCACTTTAAAAGCTTCCACTGTATCCGTATAATAATATTATTATTTTGTTGCAATATAATTTTACACATATACATATTAAATATATTTTATAATTTATTTAAAAAATTTTTTTTAGTTAAAATTCTTAAGCAAAAATGTGAACTCTTATTGGTAGTTAAAATTTACATAAATAAATTATATTAAAAAATTTTATAATAATCTTAAGACTGGATTTAAAAAATTAAAAAACAAGAAAAAAAAATACAAAAAAAAATTTTGTTTTATTATTTATACAATGCTATATGGGGTTTTTCTTAAAAGCGGTAAAACAAGAACCTGCTCTCAACGGATTTGTCTGACCAGTCAAATCGTAACTAAATAAGTTGAAAGAATTTGTAGTTTTAGTGAGTGTGTGGTAAATGACGCCCGTATTAATCGATGCAAAAATATGTAAGTCCAAACATGTTAAGAATGTTAAAGATATTGAACAAGAAAAACGTAACGTCAAACAGATATTGCAGAATAAATTACAAGTTTGGCGACTTTATCGTAATTAATTATCGCGCAATGGGTTTGGTTTCTTTCGTGGCATTGTATTGTAAAGTTGTTGCCTTCGCAAAGAAAGAGAAATAATCATGATATCTGGTTAAAAGGGACTGCAGCATAAATATGCTTATAAGACAAAGTTTTTGGTATTCTTTGGCAGTTAAATGCGGGTAAATAGGTCACATAAATCAAGAAAGAGAGTCATATTTATAAAAGGAAATTAAGTATATTTGAAGAATAGTATCATATTAAACTAGTATTCAACTACTAAAGATCTTTAATTAGAACGATCAGTATTGCACTTCATTACCTTCTAAAACTTGTCAAACTTGATCTCCCACAAAATTTAAAGTGTCATCAAACTTTTCACCAAAATACCAGTAAATTCCAAAAATTATGCATCACTCTTCCAATTCTAAACAAAATCACTCTAATCGTTATTTCAAATATTTAAACAAATGATTAGTGGCTCAAATGATCAATAAAAATTTCCAACAAAAGTAAACAATTTACGTTGCATTTATTTGAATGATCACGTTTTTTTTTTTTTTTTTTCAAATACAAATGACTTTAAATCTCTGTTTGATAATTGTTTGCATAAACAAAGTTATTTATTGAAGTATTTTTTATTAAATTATTGCATAACAATGGATATGCATATCATTAAAGCTTTGTATTTGAATGATCTTTAATAAAAATAAACTGAAATGAATTTAGTTTGGGCACTCAGTTTAAAATCTCAGACTAGTCTATCTATAGTCTAGAAATACAGTCTATAGTCTAGTCTATAGTCTAGTCTATAGTAGTCTATAGTCTAGTCTATAGTCTAGTCTATAGTCTAGTCTCTAGTCTAGTCTTCTATAGTCTAGTCTATAGTCTAGTCTATAGTCTAGTCTATAGTCTAGTCTATAGTCTAGTCTATAGTCAGATAGTCTAGTCTATAGTCTAGTCTATAGTCTAGTCTATAGTCTAGTCTATAGTCTAGTCTCTAGTATAGTCTATAGTCTAGTCTATAGTCTAGTCTATAGTCTAGTCTATAGTCTAGTCTAGTCTATAGTCTAGTCTATAGTCTAGTCTATAGTCTAGTCTATAGTCTAGTCTATAGTCTAGTCTATAGTCTAGTCTATAGTCTAGTCTATAGTCTAGTCTATAGTCTAGTCTATAGTCTAGTCTATAGTCTAGTCTATAGTCTAGTCTATAGTCTAGTCTATAGTCTAGTCTATAGTCTAGTCTATAGTCTAGTCTATAGTCTAGTCTATAGTCTAGTCTATAGTCTAGTCTATAGTCTAGTCTATAGTCTAGTCTATAGTCTAGTCTATAGTCTAGTCTATAGTCTAGTCTATAGTCTAGTCTATAGTCTAGTCTATAGTCTAGTCTATAGTCTAGTCTATAGTCTAGTCTATAGTCTAGTCTATAGTCTAGTCTATAGTCTAGTCTATAGTCTAGTCTATAGTCTAGTCTATAGTCTAGTCTATAGTCTAGTCTATAGTCTAGTCTATAGTCTAGTCTATAGTCTAGTCTATAGTCTAGTCTATAGTCTAGTCTATAGTCTAGTCTATAGTCTAGTCTATAGTCTAGTCTATAGTCTAGTCTATAGTCTAGTCTATAGTCTAGTATAGTCTAGTCTATAGTCTAGTCTATAGTCTAGTCTATAGTCTAGTCTATAGTCTAGTCTATAGTCTAGTCTATAGTCTAGTCTATAGTCTAGTCTATAGTCTAGTCTATGTTAGTCTATAGTGTAGTCTATAGTCTAGTCTATAGTCTAGTCTATAGTCTAGTCTATAGTCTAGTCTATAGTCTAGTCTATAGTCTAGTCTATAGTCTAGTCTATAGTCTAGTCTATAGTCTTGTCTCTAGTCTAGTCTTAGTCAAGTCTATAGTCTAGTCATAGTCAAGTCTAGTCTAGTTATAGTCAGTCTTAGTCTAGTCTATAGTCTAGTCTATAGTCTAGTCTATAGTCTAGTCTATAGTCTAGTCTATAGTCTAGTCTATAGTCTAGTCTAGTCTCTAGTCTAGTCTATAGTCTAGTCTATAGTCTAGTCATAGTCTAGTCTATAGTCTAGTCTATATCTAGTCTATAGTCTAGTCTATAGTCTAGTCTATAGTCTAGTCTATAGTCTAGTCTATAGTCTAGTCTATAGTCTAGTCTATAGTCTAGTCTATAGTCTAGTCTATAGTCTAGTCTATATCTAGTCTATAGTCTAGTCTATAGTCTAGTCTATAGTCTATAGTCTAGTCTATAGTCTAGTCTATAGTCTAGTCTATAGTCTAGTCTATAGTCTAGTCTATAGTCTAGTCTATAGTCTAGTCTAGTCCATAGTCTATCTATAGTCTAGTCTATAGTCTAGTCTATAGTCTAGTCTCTATAGTCTAGTCTAGTCTATAGTCTAGTCTATAGTCTAGTCTATAGTCTAGTCTATAGTCTAGTCTATAGTCTAGTCTATAGTCTAGTCTATAGTCTAGTCTATAGTCTAGTCTATAGTCTAGTCTATAGTCTAGTCTATAGTCTAGTCTATAGTCTAGTCTATAGTCTAGTTTATAGTCTAGTCTATACTCTAGTCTGTAGTCTAGTCCATAGTCTAGTCTGTAGTCTAGTCTGTAGCCTATTCCTATAGTCTATAGTCCAGTCTGTAGAGTAGTGTGCAGTGTAGTAGTAGTGTAGGCTATAGTCTAGTCTATAGTATAGTCTGGTTTATAGTCTAGTACATATTCTAGGGTAGGGTTTAGACTATAGTCTAGTCTGGCCTATAGTTTAGTCTATAGTGTATTCTATAGTCTAGCCTTAGTCTATAGTCTAGTCTGTTGTCTTGTGTATAGTCTAGTCTATAGTCTAGTCTAGTGTATAGTCTAGTCTAGTCTATAGTCTAGTCTAGTCTATAGTCTAGTCTATAGTCTAGTCTATAGTCTAGTCTATAGTCTAGTCTATAGTCTAGTCTATAGTCTAGTCTATAGTCTAGTCTATAGTCTAGTCTATATTCTAGTCCATAGTCTAGTCTATAGTCTAGTCTATAGTCTAGTCTATAGTCTAGTCTATAGTCTAGTCTATAGTCTAGTCTATAGTCTAGTCTATAGTCTAGTCTATAGTCTAGTCTATAGTCTAGTCTATAGTCTAGTCTATAATCTAGCCTGCAGTCTAGTCTATAGTCTAATCTATAGTCTGGTATATGGACTAGTCTATAGTCTAGTTTATAGACTGGTCTATAGTCTATTCTATAGTGTAGTATAATCTATAGTGTAATCCATAGTCTAATCTATAGTCTAATCTATAGTCTAATCTATAGTCTAATCTATAGTCTAGTCTATAACAGATCTCTTATAAAAACAACAAGTTTTTACATTTCTATCTAGTAGGTTTACTTCTCCCATTAGAACTACTATTCGGTAAATCCCACACCTCTAGT